TCCTGAAGAAACACGGTTGTTCCGTACTGTTTTGGCCGGATTTGGCATCTTGCCATTACGGTAAAAAGGCCATGGAGTGGTACGCCGCCAACAACGTGCAGGTGGTTCCCAAGGACAAGAACCCTCCCAACACGCCAGAGCTCCGCCCAATTGAGAAATACTGGGCTATTGTCAAGCGGAACCTAAAGAAGACCAAAAAAACTGCTAAGGGCGAGCAGCAGTTCAAGGCAAACTGGCTTTCTGCGGCGAAGAAGGTGGACAAGGTGGCTGTACAAAATCTGATGGCAGGGGTCAAGCGTAAGGCCCGGCAATTCGGATTTGGAAAAGCGGAAGCCTAACTGAATATTTTTCCTGAATTTTATACTAATTGAACTTGAAAAAGAAATTTAATTTGATTTTTTAAATAAACGATTTCACCGATTTACACGCGTTTTCCCTTGACCAAATTTTGACCGTATCACCCTTTACCATCTAGTTGGATTTCAATGGGGTGGTGATCGCTGAGATGGGATCCTCTTTAGCTCTCCATAGGAAACGATGTATTAAACTTGAGATGGCAAAGGAGACGTCAATTGCATTCTCTATGGCCGCTGGTAAAGGTAATGGAACCGTCGTTGAGAGGATTTATATTGACTGCTACAACAGCTTCAAGCACCTCGTTGCCCCTACGATTACTTGAGGGACTGCCCCAAGTTTGGTGGTGGCCGTTTACGTCACCCAGAAACAGAATGGGATCGCCGATAGTAGAAAATAAGTCGGTTAATTTACCTTTAATGTCAGAGGTCCTCGGGCAAGGAAGTTAGGTGGAGATTACCGTGAGTGTGAGTGGTCATTCCAGTCCAACCACGGCAATAGGTAAGTCAGTGGCTAAAGGGACGATGATGAAGGGAAGAGATGCTTTTACTCCAATAGCAGTACAATGGTGTGAGTTGCGGTTGATAGCGAGGACCCAGCGATATTACCCGGTAAGTGTTCGGTCCATTTTCTCCGTGCTGGCACGGTGTACTTTTTGGATAGCCAAGATAGATGGCGCATGGTATCGTACTAAGATTTCCAATCGCTGAGGTTGTGCATGTTCATATTCTACTGAATGGTGAAGCATGAGCTGGATAGGAAGAGCCTAGGGTGCCATGGGGCCACTCCCGAAGGTTGGTTGGCTGGCAGTGATTGTCCGTCGAGTTATAGATCTGTTCGGAGATGTACTGAGATTCGTGTCGTGGTGGCGTAGAAACATTGATGGAGTGGGAGATCGACGAGGGGGCCAACATCAGGTAGAAGAGCGGTCGTAGGCTACAGCGTTGGTTAATGCGTCAGTTGGTAGTTGGTTTTTATTCCGTAATCTCTCCGAGCTTCGGAGAGGTATAGCCGCAGGATTAGATCTTTTGATTCTCTTGAGTGAAGAAGCCACTGTGGACCGTGGCAGAGTTCCACCGATAGAAGGAGCTTGTGCGGCTCCTACTACTGGCAGAGTTAACAGCCCAAGTAACATTTTAAGTTTTATGAAATACTACAAAGCAACAATAAAACAACATTCATAAAACCCTGGTCAAGGCTATTTTGTCATTAATGCATCCACCAAAACCTCATTAAGACTAGAATATGTCTAGTTGGCCCACCCTGGAGAAGGTTCTGAAGGGTGTATTCTCGAAGCTCTTCAAGATTGATTTACTGCAAAAGGTTGTATGACGAACGCATTGAGAACCATTTGAAAGCTACAATAAAAGCTATTTAGCAACAATAAAAACCCTTTCCGAGCCATTTCCTCTAGCCGCATGCTGAATCCACTAGGAAAGCATCAATCAAGATAGAAAAGGATTTATGAATCCGATCTTATCAAAATAATTAATATAGAAAATGACGGTTTAAAAATCTTGCTGAATGTCCAAATTTATTACAATAGATCTCATTAAGTGGCCTAGTTTTAAGTGCCATATCAAATTGTATGTGAAATGTACGTGAAAACATCGAAAAAATTAAGCCCACTCTCGTAAAACGTCGATTTGACTAATTATTTAACATTGAAAAAAAAAATATATTCTTCAGATCAAGCTTGGTCGAGATTTTTTTTTATTATTTTCGCATTTAAATGTTTGCTCATTGCTAAATTAACCAAAACATAGTTATATCTAAGGAAATATTGATTGAAAATCGAAGATTGTAAAAAACAAGCAAACTAATTGTAACATGGCAGTGGCAGAAAAGTTGAATTTCATGGGTCATTTGTGAAAAAGTTGTTTTGCTTTCAAGAATTCCTTAACAAATTAATAAGGTTTTAAAATGACTTTTATGAAGAAAACTTGCAGGCTGAATTGTATTTATCTGAAGCCATTTTGCTTGATCCTAACCCGTTCAGATTTATGGCAGCATTTATGGAGGCAAAGTTTGCCTGCAAAAAGTTAAACGTCAAAGTTTGTTTATCTTTCGATAGTTGCGCTGTGAGATCCAGGATTCTTCCAGGCGATTTTTTCCCGATGGATTGGGAGCAGTTAGTCAGATAGTTTGCGATACTGTTTTACAACATTTCGCATTTCGAACAGCTGGAAGCGCAATCGTTCCCGAAAAAGATCCCCTTCTTCCGGAGGTTACAGAAGTGCACCATCCAATGATGCAGAGATGTACGGTTGAATGAAATTTTCGGAGAGTCTTTCGCCGAATAAAATCGCTGCTTTGGATCGGAAACCAGGTAATCTCCGCTAACTAACAGTTTCAGTGGTTTGCTGTCGGTTGTTATTTCGATTGTCATCGCAAGATCTGGAGAAGGCTGGTATGTTTTTCAACTTTAGACAATGTTTTATGAGTTCGAGGGCCCCGCTCACTTTACTCATCTCCGACAGATGGTTAGTCGTTGGTGGTGTGCTGGTTCTTCTAAAGAAGTAAATTTATCTGAAATCGACTTGATTTTTTCATCCTACGTCGTCTATCCTTCGAGATTTCCTTGTCATAAATTTGGCATTTATTACCTATGAGGAACCATCTTTTAACCTCAATTTGTAAACAAAGTAATTGGGGAGTTAATGATGCACTTTAAAAAGGCTAAAAAGCAACAATAAATGCTTTTTTCTCTAATGCAAAACCTAATTGTTTTATGGTTGCTTTTATAATGATAGAACACGTTTATAAAGAATTTTATCATGACATTAATAAACAATTTCTAATGACGTTTATGCTTGAAATACAGAACAGTTTTAAGGAGGGATTGATAACTGTTTTAAATTTATTTTTAAAACAAGACGGTTTTTGACTTTCCTGCCAGACTATAAAACGTTTTTAAAACAGCAAAAAGCTGAATTACTAAGCAGGAATGTTTTACACTTTAAAATTCTATATTTAAACTAAATTTATTGTTCATTGCCGTTATAAAACCATCATAAATCAGAGTGGATGCTAAATGGTTACTGAATTGTTACTTGGGAGAGCCGTGCTACTAGAGTCCAGGTGGCGGACCCCAGCAGAGCACCACCAGCAACAGTAATCGGGTTGGATTCCGTTACTAAGGAATCGTGTAAATACATTCAGGGTGGTGAGAAAATACAACGAAATTAACGTTTAAATTTTGGTTGCCGAGAACAGTCAATGGGTGTCGAAGCCATCATTTATCCGAAGTGACTTTAAAAATGCTTCCATAGTAATCCTCATACAAATTTAAACCCATTTACGCAACCTCTAAACCTTAATCAGTCTTTACCATTTTTTGTGCAGGCTTATATGTTATAAGAAATTTATATCCATTGCGACCAGTAATTTGATCTATTGTTGTAAATCCCGTGTCCTTAGTTTAGTGCATGTCGTATTACTCCATCACTATTGAGAAATGATGAAGTATTCGGTTTTGATACAGTTGTCATTCTTGCCTTCATCGCAAGGAATCGATTCTAATGGAAAGGTCCCGCTCTTTATACCCTTAGGAGTGTTGAAACACCTTCCAAAGGTGCGCCCATTTGTCAGTCAAAATTGGATTCCGTAGCAACAAAAATAAGGAATAACACCGATAACGACCATGCATCAGAACACTCGTCTTAACCACTTCAAACTAGGAAACAACGAATAGAAGATTGGGAATCACATAGGCGACCCAACAAAAAATTTGTGCTGATTAAGAGCTGAATAAGCTATTTTTTAGCTGAAGAAGCATATTTTTGCCTTAATAAGCTCTTATTCCGCTTACAATGTTTGTTGGGGAAGACTAACTAACTCATGTTTTCCTTGTTTCAAGATCATCCTCGGTCCAGGCAACCCGAGGACTTATCATTATCAACAAGGCAAAAAATTCACAAAGACTAAGATGTGTTCCTTTGATTACTGAAAAATCCTGTTCCCCTAGTTTGAAGTAGTCAAGACTAGGAATCGGTGGTAGATCTTACATCCCGTAACGTACCACAAAAAGGTGATCTACCCACGTTACGGGGTGTCCGACACTTGTAAAACAAGCTATCAAATTACAGTACAAAACTAAAATGTAATATGCCAGTGTCACCCAGGACCGTCACGTACTTATGTAGTTTAGTTTTTCTCATAATAAGAGCTGCTTATGTTGTGCTTGTGTGTATTCTGATAATAGCAAACAACGATGTCTAAGTAATAAAATTTCTGTTCATAAATGGTTTATTTGCACAAAATTAAGGAATTTGAACGAAATAACTCAAGGTCATATGATGGTTAGGAGTAATCCATTTATTATGTCACGCTAAATTGAAGAAAATTTACCCCCTCCCCCTTGCTGACTTTCATGACGTTTATCCTATACCTAATGCATTGCTTTTCACAAAATCATAAGCCCCCTCCCCCTTAAAGCGTGACATAATATGTGCATCACCCCTTATTTGATAATTTTCTTTTTGCTCGAGTGTTGTTCTACCGTTTGTGTTGTGTGAGAGAGACGACAGTACAGCATGAAAACAGACTGTCGCCCACGATAAAGAAGCGATTGTTGTAAAAATCGTCAACCGTTTCAACCTCTGGTTCTAAAATAACATTTTGTATCGTTGTTAACAACTTTACAGATCATCAAGGAGAAAAAGCAGCAATCACAAATCCGTCACACAGGACTGGAACCATTAAAGGCTAATGCTATCAATTGCTCCGACAGAGACGATATGGGAAGCAAAAAATCGAAAATATTCATTGAGCGGCTTTTGAGCGAAACTCGCGCAGGCAGTCCATTCAGCGATGCTGAAATTTTCGATAACACCTATCACATCATCACGTTGGTAAAAACACTGTTATTGTAAAGTTCAACCGATCTCGACCCTTTCAGTCGACTGTCTTTTCTCTCTTCTAGGGCAACGATACTTCCGCCCTGGAAGTTACCCATGCTTCGCTATTCCTAGCGATCTATCCCGAAGTGCAGCAGAAGGTCTACGAAGAAATTATGCTATTTTCCCCCCCGAACGGATCCGAAATAACACCGGAATATCTCAAGCAAATGGAATATCTGGACAAATTCCTGAAGGAATGCCTTCGGCATTGTCCAACGGCAGCCAACATCGCCCGGACCAACGTGGTTGACGTGGAGCTGGACGGAATGATAATTCCGACCGGGACTACCCTGTCCATGTGTCTGTACGCGCTGCATAGACGGACGGATTTCTGGGGTCCCGATGCGGAACGCTTCGATCCGGAAAATTTCCACCCAGACCGGGTTAGGAAAAGGCATCCGCACGCTTTCCTACCGTTTAGCGAGGGTGCAAGGAATTGTCTGGGTAAGATCGTAGGTTGATCTTGGAATGATGGATTTATTGTTTATTGATTAATGCAGGTTCGCGATACGCCATGTTCAGCATGAAGGTCATGTTGATTCATATTTTGAGAAAGTTTCGCTTGCAGACCGCGCTACGTCATCAGGATTTGCGATACAAATTTGACATGACTCTTAAGCTGGCCATCGAACCGCTGGTGGAACTGATTCCAAGATCGAACGTTAGTTTGTAATTCTAACAAATAGCGTGGGAATACTTAGTAAAATATTGCCATATCACATCAATCAAAATGAAAAATAAATTGTAGTTGTAAGTGCAAACCAAATCGCGTATATTTTGTAACTGTATCGATCTACTTTAACGATGTATTCACATCGAGAGACTGTTTCACCATTCTCCACACAACTAAGTAGAAAATGATAAGGACGTGCAGTTAAATGCCTTCCAGTACTGTAATTACTGCGTGGTTTACTGCTGCTGGAGGTACTGTTCAAGCAAGTTGTTTGATTGCACCTGCGTAAGCCAATAATCATTGGTTTTCTTTGTTAAGCTTCATTCACACGAGAATCCGAAGACAGAAACATAGCTAAAATTACCGTCTCGCCTTTAGTTACTACATGCGACGAAAATTCCTTCTTGAGTTTGTACCTTAGGAAAGGAATATGCAATGGTTTTATGATTGTTGGTTGTAGTAATATTATTCAAATCTCGGAATAAAATTTGCAACATTCCACTCAGCCAGATTCAGTACAGGATTGATCGTTTCATTCAAGAGATGGATTTCATTTTGCTTCTGATAGCTGTACCTTTGATCATTGTTTCTCTCATTTTGATCTACGTTTGGGTGCTTCACTTCAAGTATCGATACGCAGAAAGTGTTCCATTTTCTGGAATATCCAAGTATCCTCTCTTCATTAACGACTGGAAGCTACTTAGGGCATCACCGGAAGGGAAATTTGACATTCTGAAGGATACTTTTTCCCAGCATGATCGACTGTTCAAGGTGTGGCTGGGTCCCCGGTTGGCATTCGGGACGTGTCATCCCGATGTGGTTCAGGCGATCCTAACCCATCCAGAGTGTGTGGAGAAGCCGTTCTTCTATCGATTTGCCCGACTGGACCATGGATTGCTGGTCGGAAGAGGTATGTTGTATCAACTGATTTGCATTACATGGTGATGCCTGTGTTCATCTTTACAGCTCCAATGTGGAAACGACAGCGCAAGCAACTGAATTCGACGTTCAATTTGCGAATATTGGCAAGCTTTGTGCCGATATTCGAGAAATGCTGCCAGCAGCTGGTGGAAGATTTGAAACCACACGAAAATGGTGAGGTGTTCGATGTGCTCCAGTATACGATCCGATGTACCTTGAGCATGGTACTTCAAACCAGTATCGGAGCGCAGTGTCTCCCTGTTGAAGAGAGTGACATTCTTGTGAAACATATCAAACGGTGAAAGAGATTGTTAAAACTGTTCATTCAGAGTTGATAACTTAGCTATTTCATTTAGGTTTCTTTCCATAACCACGAATCGAGTCTTGAACTTGCATCAGTACTGGGAACCGGCGTACCGTTGGACCAAGCATTACAAAATGGAAGCAGAATCTCAGGCCTTCTGTGAATCAGTGACTGGGAAGGTTTGTAACTCGGTCTATTCAATATCGCCTATCATTTACCATGAATTCGCTATCAGATACTTAGGAGAAAGAGAGCGCAAATGATTGGGCAATCAACCTCAAAGGACGACATCGAGAGTAGCAAACCACGAATCTTCATGGATCAGCTTCTGAAAATGTCGGAATCGTTAAACGAGAAGGAAATCATTCATAACACCTTTACCATGATAGCAGCGGTATGATACCTAAAATTCAGATATTCCACCCCAATATCATCCTTAATCATCATAATTCAATACAGGGCAATGACACCTCCGGTCAGTTGATGGCCTATGCCTGTCTTTTCCTTGGAATGTACCCACACATCCAGGATAAAGTCTATACGGAGATCATCGACCACATTCCACCAATCGACGACCACATATCGGTTGACCAACTGAAGTGTCTAACCTACACGGAGATGTTCTTGAACGAGTGCCTTCGTCTATGTCCAATCGGTCCGAACATTGCCCGACTGAACATGGCTCCGATCGTGCTGGAGGGAATAGAAATACCTGCAGGTCATTTTCTGTTCATTTCGTTCTACTCACTACATCGCCGGAAGGACATCTGGGGACCGGATGCGGATCTGTTCGATCCGGAGCGGTTTTCGCCGGAACGATCGAAAGGCCGACACCCGTACGCTTTTCTACCGTTCAGTGGAGGTTCCAGAAACTGTATCGGCTGGCGCTATGCCATGATGAGCCTGAAAATGATGGTGGTTTATCTGCTGAGGACATATCGGCTCAAGACGGACATATCCACTTCAGATTTCCGGTTCAAGTTCGACATGATGCTGGTGTTAGCGTTTGAGCATTGGTTGAAAATTGAGCGTAGATCCGCCAGTGATTAGTTGTGAAGAAGTATTCTATTAAATTGCTAGAGTAGAACAAATCCTTTCAATCCCAGCGGGTGTATAGCAGAGTAGTAACACACCACATTTACGGTTACTATATGAAAATTATATATATATATATCGGGTGGTCTATTCCATCAAGACGCTTTTGATTTTCCCTTCATCACCAATGATCAATTTAAAGAAAATAAAAATAAAAGTAAAAGGTGATACCCATCCCGCTGTGTAATGTGTGTGTGTCCTTCTCTACCCCTCAACCAGCTGGGATCGTTGGAAAAATCAGGCGTAACATTTGATAACGGCACAAAAGCTTTTGTGAACAAACTTTTTAAGGCCCTTTACACGCTACATCGAAGTACGCTCACGCAAACCAACAACATCGTCGGATAGGGGCAACTCTCACCTTTCCGAAAGTGGTATTGGTTTGCGTGGGCGTACTTTGGTTCGCGTGTAAAGGGCCTTAGAAGGTTTGTTAACAAATTCTTTTGTGCCGTTATCAAATGTTACGCCTGAAATAGAACTGTGAATCATTGTATCAATTCAAATGCTCCGTAATGGTGCCGTTTATGTTGCGAAGATCACCACTTTTTGAAAGGATAACTTTTGAGGCAAGACAACCCGTGCTCCACAAGTTTAAGGAAAAGGATGTAGGATTAATGCCCACAACAGGTACAGCAACACATAACATAGACACCCTAACTCACACTATCTATTCACGGGTAGAAGGAAAAGAAGAGCCACCGCAGCCAACTGAAGCTTAAACCACCTTAAACCGAATACTTGGGCAATTCACAATACCCGCGCTATGTCCTATACCTAAACTGACAATCGTAATTCAAATCAATCAATGAATAATAAATAATAAAGAATAATAAAATAAACATATGATTAAAAGCATGAAGCAAACATAAAATAATAACAAATTAAATAATGTTAGGCTGGTTCAAATATTCAATTTTTTTTTCAAAAATAACACCCTAATAACAAAATAAAAAAGTCTTTTATTTTGCGAAAAGTAACAAAAATTCCAATTTTTACAAAATGCTGAGAATCACTCTATTGTTTTGCTATGGAATGGCTCTATATTAGACTGATGAAAAATTTGAAATTTTCGCTCCACAGTGCTTAAACGGTTCTAAATTGGGAACTGCTAAGCCTCGCAAAATTTGAACTACTTTAGTAAGAAACTGACTTGGCACAAACCATTTCAAGTTTATATGGGAAATACTATGGGAAAACTTATGTTTTCGTTCATATCTATCTAACAATTCACCACATCACTATGCTTTTAAAAATCATAGCACTGATTGTAGAAAATTTGTAGCTACAACTTTGGTTAAAATCACTTTTCAATCAAAAGTAAGGAACAAAAGTTATTAATGATGCAAGTCACTGATGTCTTATAATTATGCTCATTCAACTGTTCAGCAGGTAACATTGGTGTTTCTGGTGCGAAGAATAGAGCACAAATATCATGGCTACTATGACACACTGCAGAATACAGTGTTGCCCATATAACAGCTGCTTGATCATGCCATAACATTATCAATCTCTTAAGCAATTAATAACATTTTAGTTGGACATTTGACTGAAAAACGGTTTTCCGCAAAGTTGTAGCTTTGAAAATTTCCCGTACGAATAGTTATAGAAATTTTCGAAAAGCAATATGGAAAACTGGTAGAAGACAATGAACAAAAAGTTTGTTTTCCCATAGTAATTTCCATATAAACTTCAAATGGTTTGTGCCAAGTCAGTTTCTTACCAAATGAGTTTAAATTTTGGGAGGCTAATCAGGACCTGATTTGAAACCGTTTGAGCACTGTGGAGCGAAAATTTCAAATTTTGCATCAGTCTACTGTATATATACACGGAAAATAATTTTCATATAGTTTCCATTGGGAATGCATATCTTATTTCTCCATTAACAAAACCAATGGTATCTATCTGAATTTCACATAACATTCATATGATCACATGAGTTCTATATGATAAATCGCTTTAATTTCATTTGACACATAAAGTGCATGTGATTTTGTGGTGCAATTCCCAATTATGATATCACATGAAAGTAATGTGAAATTCTAATGAATATTTTCCATGGGATATGTGATTTATTCTTTGAGTGTATATTTTGCAGTTATTGAATACTTGATTTGCTTTCTCTATTTACATTTTCTTCTTCATCGCTTCAAATGCCGCTAAATCCACCTTTTCCAGATGCTTGTGCCGTTGTTGGTGGTAGTTCAGTTGAGGCTAGGCTTCGTTTTTGGTCATCGGGGACACCACATCCATTTTCACTACCTCTTCATGCAGCACATGTACCACTTGCTCTGTTTCCTGGTTGTTGATGTCCAACGATACACCTCCAACCGCTTCGCCCTGTTTTTGTCCTGCACACTTAGAAAAAATCATGTAAATTTAATTGTGCGTCAATTTTGACAACAGACGCAAAATTCATTTTCTTCGAGTAACGAAAGGTTCAGTCGCGAAGCACTTAATTTTACATTGCATGTTTGGTTACATCTTATCGTTTTTGTCAAAGATAGATTCTGTCACGTGTAAAATTAGTTATTTCTTATTGCATGTTATTGTTTTTTTTTTCATCCTGATCATCCTCACTTTTTTTACTCGATAGGTTGGTTTTTAGCTACTTTTGGGTCCCCACTTGGGCAGGATTTTGTCCGGAGCCCCTTTGCCTTACATATAAAGCATTTATCCTTATTCCCAGCATAAAAGATATTCCCTTTCTTTTCCTATTGAGGAAATCCGGAGACGAACCAGCGTTCGGCTGAAAGTCTCCTTAATAAAGATAACTAACTAACTAACTTACTTTTGCCCCGTAATGTGGGTAGATCACCTTTACGTGGTACGTTACGGAATGTAAGATCTACCACCGATTCCTAGTCCTGACTACTTCAAACTAGGGGAACAGGATTTTTCAGTAATCCAAGGAACACATCTTAGTCCTTGTTACTTTTTATGCCTTTTTTTTTTTTTTTGTTAATTACTTTATTTGTACAGGCTCATTCGAATAAACTTTACAGAGCCAAGTTATCATTTTCTTTATACATTATAAATGTCTTAAATCTAAAATTAAAGGATTGGAACCGATTACTCGCGGTCTTCTCGAGGTTAGTGGATGACAATTGTTTGGATCGGGAGAGGGAAAAGGAGATTTGGAATATGATTTATGATTCAACAATTTCACTATTTCTAAAACAAATACTTAATCCTATCGACGTTATATCAACTCTGTAATTATACAATTATTACAGAAACAAATCTACAAAAAAGAAAAAAATGCACACACACATACAAAACACAAACTAAACACAAGGTTAATCAAACTTACAATCTATGGTTAATATTCTTCAAGAAAACATATATGAGTTGCATAAACTCCAGATCGCGTCTAGCCAAAATATCCCGAACTGGAACATTAGGTTGTCTACCTCGAGCCCGAAGGGAATCGCACAGCTCAGATCTGACTCCACGATGCTCAGCACAAGACCAAAGGATGTGATCGGCGTCTTGGTAACCTTGTCCACATTCACAGAGATTGCTGTCTCCCAGCCCAACACGATACAAGTGAGCGTTTAACGAATAGTGATTGGACATGAGGCGAGACATCATACGAATGAAGTCTCGACCCACATCCAACCCCTTGAACCAAGGACACTTCGACACCTTAGGGATGATTGAATATAACCACCGTCCCAAACTCCCTTCACTCCATTTATTTTGCCAGCTGGCGAGGGACTGTTGACGATAAATGAAGAAAAATTCGTCGTAAGCGATTTGTCGATCGTAAATATCGCCTTCCATAGCGCCCACCTTTGCAAGCGAGTCCGCCTTCTCATTGCCCGGAATCGAGCAATGAGATGGGACCCATGCAAAGGTGATGACAAAAGATCTTAAAGATAAAGCACTTAGAAGCTCTCGTATTTTCATGAGAAAATACGAGGAGTGCTTTACCGGCCTCATGGAGCGAATAGCCTCGACAGAACTGAGACTATCCGTAAAAATAAAATAATTATCTGGTGCAAGTGAGGCGATCGTTTCTAGCGTACAATGTATTGCCGCCAGCTCAGCAACATATACGGAACAAGGAGCTTGAAGCATTCGAGAGGCGCTATGAAATTCGTTATAAATACCAAAACCAGCGGACGCCTCTATTAGTGATCCATCTGTGAAGAACGATCTTGCGGAATCAACTTGGCCAAACTTTGCAGCGAAAATTGACGGAGCAATCATGGAACGATGATGCTCTGGGATTCCGCGAATCTCTTGCGTCATGGATAAGTCAAATAGAACAGAATTGTCGAAGTCGGAGAAGCAAACACGATAGGGATTATGCTGCGAAGGGCTGACATCCTGTGTGATGTACACGTAGTACAATGACATAAAACGAGTTTGAGGGTTTAGCTCAAGAAGCTTCTCAAAGTTTGCAATCACCAGTGGGTTCATAATTTCACAACGGGTGAGGAGCCTGAGGGATAATTCTGAAAACCGATCAGAGAGTGGCAACATGCCCGCTAACACTTCGAGACTTATCGTATGAGTCGAGTGCATGCATCCTAACGCGATACGAAGACAGCGATACTGGACCCGTTCCAGTTTGATGATGTGCGTTTTAGCCGCCGACTGGAAGCAAAAACTACCGTACTCTAAAACCGATAAAATCGTTGTCCGGTACAACGTTAGAAGATCTTGCGGATGGGCTCCCCACCACGTTCCGGTAATTGTTCGGAGAAAATTGATCCTTTGTTGGCATTTCCGCTTCAGATACTCAATGTGGGATCTCCAGGTGCATTTTGAATCGAACCAGACCCCAAGATATTTGAAGGACATAGAATGAGTGATCGGTTTACCCAAAAGTTGAAGCTTTGGTTGTGCTGGGCTATGCTTCCTAGAAAAAACGACCAACTCAGTTTTCTCCGTGGAGAATTCGATACCTAGCTGGATAGCCCAAGTAGACAAATTGTCTAAGGTATCCTGTAAGGGTCCTTGCAGGTCGGCCTCTCTGGGTCCTGTCATAGACACTAC